ATATATTATCGTATATGAATAATGTCTAAAATAAAAATTATGTTAAACTATAAATTAATAAAAAATTAAATAATTGAATATACAATAGAAATTAATGATGTAAATTTTTGTGGAGAAAGATGTGCAGGAAATTAAAATTCAAATTGTTAAGTATTTTATTATATAGATTGTTTTGGTTACAAAGTCATTGTAGATAGAGAAATTCGCTTGACTGTAAAGGAGGAGGAAGCCAGTATAAGGTTTCAAGATGGTGTAACCACTTCCGTTAATGGAGTTAATTGCATAGATTAGTCCAAAAAAAATACATGGGGATTGTGTAGTTATTTTTGAAATGGTATAAATGCCATAAACTTATACCACAAGAGAGAGAGGCCTAAAATTTATATATACAGACCTCAATGGTAAATGGTAGCTCAAGTGGTAAAATGAATGAACTGTAACTCTAATGTTTTAAATTGAATTTTAGCAATCACTTGAGATTAAATTATGAGAAATTTATTCTGCATGAATACCATAGTCTTGCGTGTAAATGATCTCCTTTTGATCATATCGAAGAGGAGATTAATCGAAATGTGTGTAATCTAATCCAGATACCACAGACCGTTGAACCGAAAAAAAAAAAATGTATATGTAAAAACTTATGGATGTAAGGAGATGTCAGATTCATGGCGACCCAGGAAAAACCGAAAGAACAAAATCGAACAACTGTTACAAAAGTAAATCATGCTTAGAGAGGAAAAGAGAGCATTTCACTCATAATATGCAGCATTTTCAATTATTGCCAGGCAACCACCAGAGACAGAGTCAATCCTAGAAAAATAAAGTCATACTTGATATATCTATATCATTGGCAGTCAAGAAGCACTAACCTTCCGGGCAAAAAAAGCAGGGTAGCTTTGATCTTCTTCCATCTCCTCAAGCTTTTTCTGAGCATAGAAATGGGATTGGGGCAGAGTCTTTGTTGTTCTATTCTGTTTCTTGTTCTTCTCATCTCTTCTTGTCATTTGATCATTGCCCAACCTTTAAATCGTTCGATGGCCAACTTGTCAACTTCCTGGATCAATAGTCTCGCCTATGCAAATGGATCAATCGCCCAGTTCCAGTTGTTTATGAATAGCTCAGTGCTATTGTCAGACACATTCACTGCCATACTTCATAGAGGAAACTCTCGTCCAGATTTGTGTGTGGCTTCTATTGCCTATCAAATGGTAGCACCGAGTGCATCTTTGCTATTCTTATCTCCCCAGAAAAAATTGATGTGAGCAATCGGATCATACAATCCCCGCAGATAATCTGGTCTGCCAACCGAGACAACCCGGTCAAAATCAATGCCACACTGGAACTCACACAAGATGGAGATTTGGTCCTGGCAGACGTAGATGGAACCTTGGTATGGTCAACACAAACACAAGTGGAAAACATGTTTCAGGCTTAAACTTGACAGAAATGGGAAACCTGGTGCTTTTTGATACGAGTAATGCAACGGTTTGGCAGTCATTCGATCACCCTACAGACTCGTTAGTTTTCGGGCAGACGCTGAATCCCGGACAGACACTGACAGCTAGCGTATCAACATATAATTCCAGGCGAGGAGGTATGTACTCACTTGCAGTTGACAATAGAAGTTTGATTGCTTACATAGAGTCCAACCCACCGCAGGTCTATTTTGATTCTGAAAATTACTATATCGGGGACACTTTCGTCAAACTCGGGAAAGGAAGGTACAAATTTAGTCCTGAAAATACAATCCAATTCATAAAGTTGGAGCCTGATGGACATTTAAAGGTTTATGCATGGGGAGGATCAAGTTGGGGACAAAAGCAAGACCTGACAAACAATTTATTCAGTGACTGCGGGTACCCTATGGTGTGTGGAAAATACGGCATTTGTTCAGATGGGCAGTGCAGTTGTTCTCAACAAACCGATTTCTCGCAAATTAATTTTAGACAACCCAATCTCGGATGTTCCCTTAACATACCTATTTCTTGTGAGTTTTCTCAATATCATAAGCTTGTGGAGCTTAAGGATATTGATTACTTTGTTTTATAGATTAGACCTGAGGGATGAGGTGAGGATGTAGGGAGCTAGAGGATTGTACGAATACATGCTTGAAAAACTGTACCTGTAAAGCTGCTGTTTTTGCATATAATTCGGATCCTCTAAGGGGAGGTTGCCTGTTACTATCTGAAGTCTTTTCTCTTATAAACATTCAATCTTCATTCCAACAGCGTAATTCCTCAATGTTTGTTAAAGTGCAGACGAGTTCATCAGGTAGTCTTCTTGCAAAAAAATCAAGGGGAACCCCATCATTCATACTGGGAGCTAGTCTCGGAGCTGTCATTGGTGTGTTACTTATGATGTGGGCTTGCTTTTTCCTTGTCAGAAGGATTACTACATCCAAGGAAGTTGAGGAGGATTATTTGGACCATGTACCAGGGATGCCCACTAGATTTGCATACAAAAAGTTGAAAGATGTGACAGAAAACTTCAATAAAAAACTTGGGGAAGGAGGATTTGGATCGGTCTTTGAAGGGACTCTGAGCAATGGCACCAAAGTAGCAGTGAAGCATCTCAGTGCATTGGGTCAAGTAAAGAAGTCATTCTTAGCTGAAGTTGAGACAATAGGTAGCATTCACCATGTCAACTTGGTGAGACTGATTGGTTTTTGTGCTGAAAAGTCGTATAGGCTTCTAGTTTATGAGTACATGTGTAATGGATCTTTGGATAGATGGATTTTCAAAAGAAACCAAGAGGATGCTCTAGGATGGCAATCAAGAAGGAAGATCATCTTAGACATAGCCAAAGGATTGGCCTATCTCCACGAAGAGTGTAGACAGAAGATATTGCACTTGGACATCAAACCTCAAAACATCCTATTAGATGAAAATTTCAATGCAAAAGTTTCTGATTTTGGATTGTCGAAATTAATTGACAAGGACCAAAGCCAAGTTGTCACAACATTGAGAGGAACTCTAGGCTATATGGCACCCGAATGGTTGGGCTCAATTATAACAGAGAAAGTAGATGTCTACAGTTTTGGTGTCATGGTCTTAGAAATTGTGTGCAGGCGAAAAAATTTGGATCGATTACAGCCTGAGGAAGATAAGCATTTATTAAGTCTTTTTCAAAGAAAAGTAAGAGGAGGACAACTTTCAGATATGGTTGACAAGTGCAGTGAGGATATGCAGTTGCACGGACCTGAGATTGTGAAGACGATGAGGCTTGCTGCCTGGTGCTTACAAAGTGATTTTAAGAGGAGGCCTTCCATGTCAACTGTGGTTAAGGTCTTGGAGGGTTCTGCGGATGTTGAAAGCGACTTGGATTATAGCTTTGTCGGTCAACATTTATCAAGAACAACTGCAACCGTTTATGAAAAGGAGGACGTTGTTCGTGCTGCTACACCACTTCTGCCATCAGTTTTATCTGGACCAAGGTGAAGAAAAGATATTAAAGACATTCGATGGAAGAACAAAGTTGCATCAAGTATAAGATTCCTAGATATTTGACCGAAATTACTGTATTGGAATATTAGGGGTATGTTATCCATCTTTATCACCAGAAAATAAAAAAAGGTTCAATAGAAATCCCAATTTGTGGACAGTTGCAGGTTGTTGGATTTACCACGAGTTTTCTTAATTTTTATTGCAGGATGTTGGCTATATATGTTACCAATATTGATATAAGTTGACAAAGTTGAATGATTTTTCCAAGAGCATTTCCCCAATATATTTGAAGGATGGCTCTATTGTAAACAAATATTAGACCTTTTTTTTTTTTTTTTTGCGAAATTACGGTATGACTAACATAATTCTGCAAAGCAATATTTCCCTAATACATTTTGCTTTGATTGTTTACCTATTTTATTTTTCGAATAATTTTAAAAAAAAGGCTAAGCTTAAATTGAAGAATTTTAATTTATTAGTTATTTTAAGATTATTATATTAATTAGGCTATATCTATTTGACTAGAATTGTTTTAGTAATTTTGAGTAATGAGAGTTTGATTAAGAAATTATTAATAGAGTTTTAATGGGTGAGTAATTTGAGAGTTTTATTATGAAATTATTTTAGAATTTTAGTAGGAGATTTAGTATATAAATATTAATGTATCAATTGAAATCTAAAGATCTTAGATCCTAGGGTTTAGAGTGAAAAAGAGGCGAGAGAGGAGAAAGAGAAGGGAGAGATTAGCAAATAGGGTTAAGGAGAATGATTGTTAACCTACCCCTCTTTTCATCACCCATATTTATATTAACTCATAATAAAGTGAAGATTACAATAATACCCATGAGTAAAATAACCTAACATTCTACAGTCCCCCTTAAGTTGAAGTATAGATATCTCTTATGCCTATCTTGCATACATGTGAATGAAAATTTCTACTACTAAGCACCTTTGTAAATACATCAACTAGTTGTTCCTTGGACGTCATAAATGACATACAAATCAGCCTATCACTTGGCTTCTCTTTAATGAAGTGTTTGTCAATCTTAATATGCTTTGTTTTGTCATACTGAACCGGATTGTAAGCAATATTTATAACAGTCGTATTATCAAAATACAAGCGCATAGGTTCATCATTAGGGACACCAAAGTCTTCCATCAAGGTTTTCAACCACGTAAACTCACAAATATAAGGAACCATGACCTTGTATTCTGCCTTTGTACTAGATCTAGCCATCACTACTTGTTTTTTATTCTGTCAAATAACTAGATTTCCTCTAGTAAAAGTACAATAACCTATATTGGACCTCCTATTCTCAATTGAGCATGCCCAATCTGCATCTGTGAAGCTTTTATTTTTAGATGATCTTGCTTCGAGAACAATATTTCTTTGTCTGATGATGATTTGAGATACCTCAGAATACAATGAACTGCCTCTTGGTGAGGAATCAGAGGGTCATGCATGAATTGGCTAACGAGACTCATTGCATACGCTATGTCTAGGCGTGTGTGAGAAAGGAATATGTTTCCCAACAAACCTCTGATATCTCTATCAACTTGATCATTTTCATCACTTTTTAGTTTGTGGTTTGCCTAAATAGGTGAGTCAGTAGGTCTACAACCTAGCATTCTGATTTCCTTCAGGAAATCAAGGATATACTTCTTTATGAGATGAAAATGCCTTTATCTGACCTGACCATTTCAATCCCTAGGAAATAGCGTAACCACTCCAAATCCTTGATCTTAAATTCTTTAGCAAGACGAACTTTCTGTTTGGACACTTCCTCCACATCATGACCTGTAAGTATTATGTCATCAACATATACTATAAGAATTGAGATCTTAACATTATCTTATTTGATGAATATCGTACGATCTACATGACTCTGTTTATACCCAAACTTGATCATTGCCTTATGAAATTTGTCAAAGCAGGCTCTAGGAGACTGTTTTAGTCCATAAGGAGATTTTTTTAGCTTACACAGTTGTCCCTCTATACTTGGAGAAGAAATTTTCGAGGAATATCCATGTACACTTCCTCTTCTAAGTCTCCATGAAGGACGCATTCTTTATGTCCAGTTGTCGTAAATCTCATCCCAGATTGGCAAAAAAAGAAAGAATGATATGAATGGAATTCATTTAGGCCACAGGAGCATATGTCTCCTAATAGTCGATGTTATATGTCTAAGTAAACCCCTTAGTTACCAGCCTTACTTTGTATCTATTCATTGTACCATCTATATTCTGCTTGACAATGAACACCCACTTATAACCTATTGATTTTTTCTGGTGTAAGAGACATATGCTCTTAGGTTTCAATCTTTCCCAGAGTTCTCATTTCTTCTACCATGACTGCTTTCAACTTGGGTTCTGCTATAGTTTTCTTCCAACTTTGTGGAAGAGATATAGAAGACATAGACAAAATAAAAGCACGATAAGAAGAAGACAAAGAGTCATATGAAATAAATTTAGAAATAGGATGTTGGGTACAAGTTCGAACTCTTTTTTGAATAATAGGTAAAGAAATATCATCAACACAATTACTACAAAGAGGTTCATTACCTGATAAAGGAGAAGAGATATAAAAAATTGAGTCCGGATTTGATGACTGACTTGGTGACTCATGGGTGGTAATCTGCTTAGCTTGTCGTTAAGTATAGCATCAAATTTTTCCTATCTAATCTTCCACAAGTAGTCTACTCCCCCTAAGGAGGTGTTTCTCTGTGAGGCTCCCCCTAGCTAGTTTTTTTCCCTAACTCAATCTTGATTGGGGATTAAGAGAAAGAATCCATCCCCTAGGATCTTTTCTTCAATACACTGTTCCCCAGAAGAGATGGGGGAAGAGTGGAGAAATAGGACTCTGTCTCATGAAATGTGACATTCAAGCCAACATACACCTTCTGGGACTGAAGATGATAACACTTATACCTTTTTTGAGTAGCAGAGTAACCAATAAAGATACAACACAACGCCTTTAGATTTGACTTTTCCTTGGTCTTTCGATAATCGTGCACAAAACACACACAACCAAATAGAGTAAAAATAAACTGAACCTTGAAGCAACCCTATAGGAGTATCAAAATCAAAAATTCATGAAGGTATCCGATTAATGAGATATGTAGCAATTAGCACTGCATCTCCCCAAAAATACAGAAGAACACCCATAGTGAACATCAAGGAACTCTCATTTCAAGGAGATGTTGATTCTTCCTCTATGCTACATCATTCTGCTCAAGTGTATTCACACAACTAGATTGGTGACTAATTCAATGTTATGTAAGATAAGCCCGGTATTCTCCATTAAAATACTCAATCCCATTATCAATCCTAAAAAACCTTGATTTTGGTATCAAACTGAGTATTTACCAGTTTATGAAAGTTCTTGAAACAAGTAAACATTTTATCCTTACTATGCTTGCATCACATAAACCCAAGTAACCCGAGTGTAGCAGTCAATGAAAATAACAAATCATCGATATCTAACAAGAGAAACAACATGAGATGGTCCCCAAACGTCATAATGAATAATCATAAACGGAGCAGTGCCTCTATTATTATTACTAAGATAAGAAGTTCTTGTATGCTTGACAAATTCACAAGCATCACAAAAAAAATTATCTTTATTACATTCATCAAATTTGGGAAAAAAAAATTCTCTAATACTCCTACGGATGGATCACCAAGTTTTCGATGTCATTGGTGTGACTGTTGGAATGCCACAAGTCCAGAAACCTGAAGTGCCTAACAAGGTTGATCCTCCAGCAGATATAAATCATTATGAGCTATACCACTGTCTATCATTTTTCCCATTCCCAGTCCTAAAAAACACAACGAGATGGGAAAAATGTTATAGAGTAGTTTAAAGACTTTGTAATGTTACTGAGTGAGAGCAAGTTAGTAAAAAAAGTTAGGGACATGAAGAATTGAAGACAAAGACATTGAAGAAGAACAATGAATGAAATATTTCCCTGATACAGATGACAATGAGTCATATGCTGCCATAACTTTATAACCAAATCAAACCAAATCAAGTCTTATGTCCCAATCATTTTGAGTGAGCTATATAAGTTCGTCTTCGCCATTCATTTCGATCATGCGCTAGCGCTCATTTAAGTTAAGTATTTTTATATCTTTTCTTATTATTTCATTCAATGTTAATTCTGGTCTACCCCTATTTCTAGTACCATAAAAAAATCTTTCACTTTTTCAAACTGGTACCTCTATCGGCCTACGTTGAACTGATATCCAAACTTTATCTCTACCGCAAACATGTGGAATAAGATGAGAACAGACTTCAGGAACTTGTCATATGGTCAGTGGTTTCAGAATCTATAATCCGAGGATTAGGGAAACAAGATGCAATAAAAACGTTAGCATGTATACCTATGTAAGCAAAGTTGGAAGTAGATGCAGAAGAAGTATCAAGCCAAGCCATTAGACACCTAAAAGCTTGAATCTCATATGCAGTGAAACTCACATTATCAGTACAAGGAGATAGAGATGGACCAATGGGAATAGTTTCAACAATCTCAATCACATGGGCATATGAGCGCATAGGACTAGCCTTGTTACCAATACGCCCCTAGAATGACGACCATGTGGATTTCAAAAATAGTCTTTAATATGCCTCATCTTTCCATAATAGTCACATTTTAACATATCCTTTTTCATTCTCCCATTTTTACCATCACCATGAGGCCGAAATGATTTATTCTATCTCTTTGGAATAGTTACTAGAATAGACAGATCATGAGCAAGTGTGTGAAGCATGACACTCCTCCTGCTATACATAAGCATGGGTTTGCCTTAGGGAAAGAAAATGATCTTTACCCAAAACCTATATATGGATTTGATCATATTCTATATTGAGACTTGCAAAAAAATCATATACTCATTTTTTGCCTATAAGCCTCTAAAACTTAGAACTATTTCCAGTACAATCTGCTTGAAAATCTTGGTAATAATCTAACTTTTACCATAGACAATCTTGCATA